CTCATGCTGTCACTAAGTCTACTACTCATCCTCTTATTTTCGATTTCCTCTTCTTCAATCTCACAATTTTCTTCAGTTTTCGCTCCTTCGTTTTCTTTTATTCTCTCACTCCTCACCATCTTCATTTCTCCTTCTGCTTTTTTTTTCATCTGTATCCTGTCCTTTTCTCTTTCGCTTTCTCTTACAATAATATGACGATACATTTTCTTAAAAGAAGAAATGCTCTCATGAAAATACATATTTTTGTTCGAATTATTCGTCCCATGATATCACTTCATTAACTTTTTTTATCGATACTTCTATCAACTGATTTGTTTAGAAAAGTATACTTGGCAAAGATATTTTCGGTGGTTTGCCATTGTCTGTTGAGAGGAGCTATGAGTGTACGAAAATTTTTCGGTTCTACCTGAGATCTCTGGCATAACAGTCTTCCAACAAGCAACACAAGTAATATGGTGTGACACAATGGATCATTACATCTTTGTTGTTTGCCAATGTGAAATAAAGATAACATGATCACTGTGTCGCACTGTGTCGCACTATATCGATCCATTTGTTAAATTTAAAACAGACATGTTAAAAAGATGTAAAAACTGCATAAATATTTAATCCTTTTTTTCTTTAAAATAATATTCTTTCTTTTTTAGATGTATCTTCCGTTAGGCATTAGTATTTTTGAACAGTCGCTTTATTGGTTGACAAGTATAAACGGTTAACTGTAAAGTTGTAAATTGTATGGTAAAAAATCGTGCGAAATTAGATGTAGGTACAAATAATGTTTGCAGACAATTAGCCATTCTTCATATTTCCAGGTAACCTTTTGATTGGTATAATATAGGTAATATTTAAGAATAACTGTTGTGTGTTTCGCGAGTTTTCTCCGTCTAGATTCTTGGAATGCCAACGTTTCGTGAGCCTTGCAGTCCACTTCATCAAGGCGAGGAGCAGCTTGATACTGTAGTAGTCAAATTTTGTAATAAAAAATCATCATTTTGAATTTCTCTTAACTTATTGTTAATGTATTCCTTGAGATGGCAAGTACATTTTGTAACCGCGCAGTATCGTTCCTAATCATGCATTAGGTCCAATAATGATTTTACAATGATATAAAAAGATAATACGTTAAAAGAAATGCCTTTAGTAAAAGATATCTCCGTTCGCATTATCGTATTGTGATATTATGATTCTATCAAACAAGCTTTTACTTCTTAATAAATAAAAGATAAATTATGGAATTTTCTATTCTCTACAATATTATTTGCAAAGAATATAAAGAACTTTCTCAGAGTGTATTCCGAACTAAATTAGTTTAGCTTTTTTTTGTAGATATTGGCAGCTCCGTAATTAATCGGTTTTTTTTTTCAAGCATGCTTAAAATAGTAGTATGCTATAGTAGCGTACCATAGAAAGTTCGCAACTACTCGACAAATAACACTATCTAAACAAATTTAATCTTTTTTTTGGAATACAAATATAAGTCATTTTTCATGTATCTTTTTTATCTGTTAAAAACATATTTATCAATCGATTATCACGTTAAAATTTTAAGAAAAATAATATTGAAGAAGAAAAAAATAATGATTTTGAGGATGACTTTGTAGCAGCAAATTTTTTTCTAAATTTTATCAACTTTTAATTTTAAAATGCATTTTGCTTTGTTTCGGTTTGATTTTTTAATTTTCGAAATAGCAATTTCAAAATAGCTTTTTCCAATAACGGATTAAACATTTTGCCGCTTTTAGGCATAAAAATCAGTAATCGAAAGGCAAAATTGGAATCCGTTTTTCTGAATATTGCGACAAATTTAGCAACTTTTAAGCATTTCAAGCACATTGACAATAACCTAGAGATAATTTGATGGGTGAAGATATTTTGAATGCAATCCATTCAATTCTACAATGCTTCGAGATTTGATTGATAAATCTGAAGATAAAAATTTTACCAATTCAAAACAAAATGCTTCAAAATATTTCTGGCAAGAAATGGATCGTAGTCAGCAACCTAATCATGTTATGGGTCCCTAGACCATTATCAGTAATGACTTTTAAGTATCATAATAGTTTCTATGTGAGAGAGAGAGGAAAGGAATTTGGAATAAACATATTTAAACCCAGCGTTTCAGTTCTAAACATATTGTTCTAAATGGCATCACGACTGTGTCAAAGCATGAGTTTTTTCATTTTAAGTTATTAAAAATAAATCTGAGTTTTATACGTATACATAGAACTTCCATTTTATGTGATTACATTATATTATGTGAGTACATTTATTTCTTCTTTTAAAATAAAATTTGAATACTCATTGCGCTCTTTCAAAATATGTGTTATAAGAAAATTAATTATATATATAATTAAATGTAACTAATATTTATCAAACTATTTATATTTTATATGATATTTAAAATGTAATATTAATTAACACAGTGATAATGTAAATTAAGCTCTCGAAATAATAAAAACAATACAATAAAAACAATAATATTAATTTAACGTTACATGTGACAATAATGATATAGTTTTCAAGAGACGAGCAAATTGGGTGTTAAAATAATTAAAATACATTTAATAATCTAATAAAATAGTATATATAAAATTTAATGTTTTATCTCATAGAGCTTTCATAATTTAATTTTTTAATAAAGTCATTAATTAATATTATAATAATATTACACAGTTTTATATACTAAATTAACTTAAAATAAAGTGAAAAATTCTTATGTAATATGTATTATATACTAAATTCAACATATTTCTCGCCATCGGACGATAAATTTATTACCATAAGAATTTTTAAGTTTTAACTTTTTATATTTATCGTTAAACATGTGGATAATCACATATTCACATTGAAAGAAAAATTTAGTTGCTGCAACAATTTAAATAATAAAATATGACATAGTATTTTTATATGGTTGCAGTAATTAGTTTTTGGTTGTAGCAGCAAAATTTTTAGTTGCATTAGCCTATCCGCAATGTTAGTATATGATTTTGATAAGCTAACGCAACTAAAAATTTGCTGCTACAACCAAAAACTGATTGCTGCAGCCATATAAAAATTCTATGCCATGTTTTATTATCTACATTGTTACAACAACCATTCTTTTTTCAGTGCACGATTATCATATTAGAATTTGATAGAAACTATTTGTTATGACTTGGCCTCTCGTTGTCATTTTATTTTAAGTTAATTGTAAATGGAAGATTGTAATATTATTTTATTAGTTAATGATTCTATTAATTAAATTATAAACAAGTAAAAACTCTGCGCCCTGAAACGTTGTATATAACTTTATTAGATTATTAAATGTATTTTAATTATCTTCATATTCAATTTACTCGTCTCTTAGTCGTTAAATTATGTTACCATTGCTATGTAAATTAATGAGTGTTAAACTATTTTTTTTATCACATTATATATATTTATAAAAAAATTCTTTTTCTTCTTCTTCTTCCTATTTTTCTTCTTCTTTCTTCTTCAGGCCTCTGGCCTATGTTATACCTCTCTCATATGTTTGTAATGCGCACGCTGATTATTCAATTGCCACGAACATGTAGGACTTACAATTTTTTATGCGAGTTTCAAACAGCGGTTTTTTCGAGAGATATTTCTGTAAACAAAGATACTCTCGAGAGGTTGTTTTTCTGAGAGAAGATAACCGTAAATATTTCTTTCCTACTGAGATCGAACTCGGAATCTCTGGCATGATAGACCAATGCGTTGTCTGTCGCGCTCGCGCTTTATAAAAAATTAACATCGTAAAGCATGACATTATTAAAATTTTAAATACTTTATATGTGTGTACATTTCTTCATTGAACATTAATTTATTAATTTCAATGTTAATCGAGAGAATTTACTAATGCATTTAATTTCTTTTTACCAAAAATGGTATAAAGATGTGCACCTTGACATCCACTTTACAGCGCTAAATACATTTAATTACTTATATATTTGAAGAAAATACAAAAGAACGTGATTTTCGCTTTTTGTTTATTTATGTTTATATTTATTTATTGTTATATTTATTTATGTAAGTATAACAAGTATAATATTATATAATACATTATAAAATACGATGTTCTAATTGGATACTTTTTATATTCTTAATTAAAGTAATCCTAAAATCGTCTGTTTTACTGACTAAACACAATAATTTTTATAGAACAAATATCACATCTTAACTATTATACTTTTACTAATTTGGAAATTCTTCTTCAGAATTAAAATACATGTAGTGGTATGTGCATCTACAGCTTGGAAGTTATTCCAAGAACGACAAAAATTTTTGAAATTGTAATATTTTTTATCATTTCTTAAAATGATAAAAATCTCTTCCAAATGACGTCTAAAATTGTGCATTTCAAATCGTGCATTTTGGTCCGAAAGCTTTGCAATCGATACTTATGAAATTTGAGGCTACAAACTAGTAGATTATATAAAGAAACAACGTCGATTTCTTGAAATTAAATTTAGATGTCAAATTAAAATTCTATTATTCTACAAAAATTTATATGTTTGCGTGTAATATTAATACAGTAATACACATATAAAAATCTGTTGCATTTTATCAATAAAACAGTGATTCCATCAGAGTTTGGGCTTTGCTTAAGGATCCTATTAAAAGACATTTAATACTATTTATTAAATTTATTATTTATATATTTCAAATAATATAATTTAAAATAAAAATGTTTTAACATAAAATTTCAAGAAATAGAATTACGTTTGTGTTCGAATTTGATTTTTCATACAAATTTTATTTAAATTCTGCACTCGTGATTACATTTATTACATTACAAATATTAAATTCGCCCGTCTATTCATTCGTATTACATGTCACAACTGATTTTAGCCAATTTCTTTAACTGTAAAGCGATTTAAAATACGTGGCTTATTAATAGTGCATATATTGAATGAATTTGTTAAAAAAACAAATGGAAGAACAATAGTAATTAGTCAATCCTAATTTGTTTTATTGTAACTTGTTTATTTTTGTAGATCATGCGTTGGCTTGTGGTACTGTTTATATGCAGTTTATATTCTTTTACATTTGGTAGTAAGATATTTTGATAATATTAATATAAAAATTTTGATGCATTAAAATATTAAAATATAAATCATTTCGAGATTATATCTTTTTCTTTACATGTATTATGAAATACTGATAATACTAATAATAAACAATTGTGTTAAAAGGATCTTTCTACCCGTCAAAAATACCAAAGTGTAGATTTGGATATGACACTGAATTCTCCAAATTTAAAAGAGATTTTTTTGAATGCATCAATGGTCAATGCATACCAAACATTCAGATGTGCAATGGCATAACGGACTGTGAAGATGGTTCAGATGAAATATTTGACATCTGCCATAATAAGGTGATTATTATTATTGCATGAGTATTATACAGCTCATGTTATTTTTTTTGTTGATAGTAACATTCCTAAAATTTTACCTATTTTATGTCTATGATGCAGATTTTTAAGATAAATATAGCTTCCTCTTACAATTAAATTATGCATTACATATTGAAACCCTTTATTTAAAAACCCTTTTTTTAATGCTTTCAAGAATCTAGAACCGCAAACCCTATATCTAGGTGACACTCCTATATCTACCCTTCTTCTTCTAAAAAACAGTAGCAGTTTACTTTTTTTATTTAATTTTAATTTAATTTTTAATTAATCTTATCGATGGATAGTTTCTTAAAAAACAATTCTAAACTAACACTTTAGAAAAAAATTGTCTAAACCTTTAAAATAATACTTGTTATTTTTTTTCCTTAAGTAATTTAGTTCCTATAAGAGATTTATAGTTCCGTGGTATAACACTTGCTTAAACTATATCGATTTACCAATGTCTTATGTCTTAACATTAGAACTATAAACTAGAACTATACCTGTTTTCACTGATGTTAAAAACTGTTAAAACTTCTGCGTAAATTTTTGTATTGGTTAATAATTTTCTTTAAATTTTTAATTTTTCTTAAGTTTGATTTATAAAAATAAAATTAATAAATTTTATTTATATTTAAACAGTTTATTTTCATTTTTATCTTAAACCGCCGAAGTCGTCATGGCATTTACAACGAAACGAATTAAAGTGTTCTCTTCAATTTTGATGAGCTTTTAACTTTTGTTATCTAATCCAAAATAAAAGACGCATATTTTTTTATATGTGTTCATATGTACTTTGAAAGAGTGAAACATTCCTTTGACAAAAATAGGTTTTCCAAAATTAGTTTCTTTCGAAGCGATTATCGAAATTATAAGAAATGAAAAATTTTCAGTAAAAGTTGAATGAATTTAAGATTACATTATATAATAATTATTATTAAAAAATTGTTTTCATTTTCTATAATATTTTTTTAAATAAAAATTATTCATTTTTTATTAAACAAAAAAAATTTTTTACCATTATAAAGTATTTTTGAAATCATTCAAATTTTATCGACAATTTTTTTCCATCTCTTACAGTTTCGATGGCATTCGCTTTGAACATAATTTATTAGGGTATTTTTGCAATAATATGGATCCATATTCAACTAAAGTTACATTATTCTTTTTTGTAATTAATTATTAAGAAGAAGATAACCTGACTTTAACATTCACCATATCTGGATAAGTGATATCACAAAAACTCCCTATTATTTATCTGCATAGCAGCAAAGAAGAATGATACATACGAATGATTGAACTATGCGCGAACAGTGAAATAATTATAAATTAATTGATACAAAATTAATTGCAGTAAAATTTTAGTATGCAATTAGAATATAAAAAATATATTGACACAAACTTTTAATTAGTATAAATATGAAAATAACGCTTCATTAATCGAAAACAAAAAAAATTATTTTCGATAGTTCCAAGAGGAAATATCTTCTATAATTCCGATTTTGACGGCTCTATAGTGTTAACTGTTTAACGTTATGTTAAAAACGCAACCCATACATGTGCTCGCAGTATAAACAATATAACTCCTTTTTCTGTTATTTTAGTTACAGCATAGCCTTACATGCTCCAAATATGAATACAAATGTAGCACAAATGATACCTGCATTCCGAAAGCAATGTTCTGTGATACAATAACGGATTGCCCGGATGGAAGCGATGAATACGACGGTTGCGTGAAAGATGTAAGTGAATCGGGGCAAAAATTTTATTCGTTTTATTGACAATTATAATAATTTATTTTCTTATTGTATCTATTATTTTTCTTGAATTTGCAATTCTGTTTTTGTCCACAGTTGATTTGCACCAAAAACAACTTTCGATGTAATGACGGACGTTGCATATTTCGAGAATGGATTTGCGATGGCAGAAACGATTGCCCCGATGGCAGCGACGAGTTAAACTGCAGTAATTTATAGAAATACAGATTATATATTAATAACGATAGGATAATAAAAATTATATTTTATTATAATAAAAACTTTTACATACAGCCTTATGTTTTATCTATCTTTCCAGGCATAAATAATTGTAAAATAGAAAATTCTCAATATTTGTGTGAAAATCAATTATGCATACCTCTTAAATTAGTATGCAATGGAAAGGATGACTGTGGTGATAAATCAGACGAAATCGATTGTGAGTACTACGTTATACATATTTCAATATATTTTAATTGTTGCATTAATTTTTTTGCAACAAATTTTAATTATATTGTCCTTTACTTTAATGCGTTTAAATCTTTCGTGATATAATATCTTTGTGATTTGTTATATTGTTAAATTATATTTAATTTTTATTTAGGTACATCATCTAGCTGCCCTAAATCGATAAAATGCGATCACGAATGCACACTAACTTCTAAAGGAAATATATGTTTCTGTAAGCCGGGTTATAAATTACAAAATGATAACCGCACTTGTATAGGTAAAAATTGCGATAAACAAAAGCGACAATGTTGCGAAAATATATCGTTTACTTAACGATTTTTCTATTTCACAGATATCGACGAGTGTCAAACTTATGGCATATGCGATCAAGAATGTGTGAATTCTCCAGGATCGTATAGTTGCAAGTGTCAAACGGATTATTTTTTACAGGAGGACAATAAAACCTGCAAAGCGAGTGGTAAATTATAATAATCTGGGAGTATGAGTAACAGCGCATATTCTTTTTATTTTTATATTAATTTTATAAAAACACGAATCTTTCTTTGAAATTTAGGTCGTGCTAAAATACTGTTTTCTACAAAAACCGAGATTATAGGGATGTATCTCACGGAAAAAAATGACATTGAATTTTTCAATAAATTGACATTCTCAAATCACCTGATCAGCATTGCAGTAAACGATGAGCACATATATTTTTCAAAATTGATAGGTGTTAATGAAGTCATTTCAAAAAATATTCTTATGTCAAATATGTATGAAAACGTCGTGACAGCAGGTGAATGATATAATCTGTAGATATAATTATAACTTTTGTAAAGCATTTGCGGAAGCAATTTTTTATACATCTTTTTTGTAGTACAAAATAATATAATATATTTAAAACTGTAATATATAATGCTAATTATAATCGAATAATGATTATAAATAATTATAATTTTTATAATTTGTTATATGATATTATATATCTGCAGTAATGAAACTATGATATTAATAATTAATACAATAATTCAAAGTTAACATCGTATTTGCAAAATAAAGTCGATCAGATTCAAAATCAGTAAAAAAGATATTGTGATACAAATAATCGCATACCTTGAACTGAAAATTGTATAAATTCATTCAAAAGAAGTATAATTATAAGCACGAAAAATCGCCTTAACTGATTATGATCATCTTTATTTTATTTATTCGATCTTATTTATTCAATCTTATTGATTAAGTTTCACTTAATATTATTATTTTTAAGTCTAATGTAATTTATTCTCTTTTAATAAATTATTAATATATTTACTACAAACTGTATAAACTCATTAGCTGTAAATAATGTAAAAATAATCAATAATGTTTATTTATTTTTTTATCTATCATATTTTAACATATCTCTCGAATTATTATTAATTATTTTTATATTACCACTGACGAAGAGTTTGTATATTCAAAACATTTTCATAATTAATCGAAAGAGAATAAATTTTGTATTAGACTATAAACATCTTTTCTTCTCGTTTACTGACCCACATATTTTTAAAACTGTAATAAGATTTATATACATATATAATAACATTTACATAAATATCTAAAATTATTAATATTTATAACAAAAGAGAATGCGTCTCATTCTTTGAGAAGTAAGTTAAGATAAAAGTTGCATATTCTAATTGTTTATTATACTTTTTAAATTTTCTACATTTTTCTTGTATAAAGGCTTGTCAAGGATATCAGCGATGGCCGTAGATTGGATTACAGAAAACCTATATTTTACGGACAAGATTAACCATATCGGAATTTGCAAATTCATCGGAATATACACAAATTGTACTGTATTAATCGATAATATTGATCAACCAATGGGAATTGCTTTATTACCAACTCGTGGGTAAATCTTACACTTCTTATAAAAGTTATTCTTAAATTTTATTATTTCTTGATAACCTAAATGATCTTATAAGAAATGTTAGAAGAGATAAAGAGAAAAAAGAAGAAGTTCTTAATTAATTTATTATCTTAATTAATTAATTTATTATCTCATCAAGAGCTTACAAATCTTCTTAATAATTATATTTTAAATCTATTGTACCATATATATAATATATATATGTAATATAATTTTTTTGCAAACTTTTTAATTATTTTTTTAATGCTCTAACAATCAAATAAAAATATCAGAAAAAGAGAGAAAGTAAAAAAACAAATTCTTATTAATTGATTTATCTGGATCTTATTTCGATCCTTATTTTACTACAAATAGAATTTAATTAACATTATTATTTTATAAAATATACTGATAAGATAATTGTTATTCTCAATATTGAAATCAAACATTAAACTTTTTCAATTATTAAAGATAGAAATTAAAAGATAGAATTATAACAACATAAACTTAAATAAAAATATATTAAGCATATATTACATTTATAGGAAAATGTATTGGTGTGATTGGAGTTCTAATCCACATATAGCAGTGGCGGGAATGGACGGCAAAAACATCCGTGTATTTGTCTCTGAAAATATAAAAGCGCCGAAAAGTTTAACTATTGATTATCAAACCGATCGATTATATTGGGTGGATTTCAAATTAAGGACAATCGAATCAATACGTTTAGACGGAACTGATCGAAGAGTTAATATTTGTTTCTTTTTTAATTATAAAATATCACAAGGTGCAATACACTAAGAAACGAAATACATTTATATAATTTAATTATTTGCAGTTTGTACTACATAATATAACATACAATCCATTCACATTGGCGATCTTCGAAAATAAATTGTATTGGATCGACATGAAATCCAATGCGATACAGTCATGCAATAAATTTACTGGAAAGGATCGGAATATCTTATTTCGAAGTTTACGTCATCCTTATAATTTGCATATCGAACATCCAGCGCTGAAGCCTAAAGTATGCATAGTATCATGATGTTAATTTTCCATTATAAAAAGTAGATCGCAAAAAATTTGCATTATCTTTCAATCAAATTTCAGATTAACAATCCATGTCTTTCCAATCCGTGTTCCGAATTATGCATGCTAAATCAGGAGAACGGATACTCGTGCGCTTGTACTATGGATAAGGAATTAAACATCGACAATCATACTTGTCAAGGTAAATTCGTTAAAAATTTAAAATTAAATATTAAATTTATAGGATATATTAACATATTCTGTATATCAAAATTGAGACAACAGTAATAATGAATAATGCTTATCACATATCTTATTAAATAAGCATTCTTGAGTAAGCATGAGAGTATATAATTTTAGAGGTGACAAAGAAGCAGCATTTGCTGATAACTAATGGATACAGTCTTGTAGACTATTATGAATGAATAATGCCGAAAGTGAAAAATGTAACACACAAATCACTTACAAATCTTGGATATTTAATAGATATGGCACCTGATCCGATCACTGGTATATATATATATATATTAGAATTTGTTTTTTAAACTATAAATGGCTGTTTAACATTTGGTTTTTGTGGTTATCAATTTTTACAATTAAAAATTTATTTAGGTCAAATATTTATATTACACTCAAACCCAGTAGCTATCAAGCGCTTCGATCCTGTCAATAATATCTTTGAAAACATCATATCAATGAATAAATCAGATGAGTATAGTGGGATAGCTTTTGATTATATTCGTAATAACTTATATATACTAAACGAACATAACAGATCAATTGAGGTATACAATATAAAAACCTTGGCAATGACGATTTTTTATTTTAATAATGATGTTCCTAATTCTATTACATTGGTGCCTGAAGAAAGGTATGGCATTATTAAATTGATAACTTATCATTCATAATATAATAGTATTTGTTAACAAAACAATTATTAAGAAAATATTATATATTAGAAAATATTATATATTAAATATTGCAGCAAGATGTACGTAGCGTTCCAGAAAAAATTTTCTCTAAAAAAAATGAAATATTTTGTATATGAAATGCAAATGAATGGATTAGGTAAAAGAAAACTGCTTATGGAAGGTACTTATTTCAAAGGTTTAAGAATATTAATGTGTTACCATAAAGACAGTAAAACACTCTTTGTGAATGATGAATGGTCTCATAGTATCTTGTTGCACTCGGCTGAAGGTTTGCATTTTAACTTTTATAAGTATTTAAGTCTTGAGTTATGTCTCGCAAATGCATGTTTAAATTTTTAAATATATTTTATTATATAATTTATTAAATTAAAATTTTAATGCTTCAGTAATATACTTAAATTAAAAAATTTATATATAAATATTATTTATTTGGGAGGACTTGTACAGTTGCTTGCAAATCGATTGCCTACATTACGTTTGCTGACAGTTCATTTGCGCACAAAAATTACTGCCTACATTTCAATTACTTACATGCAGGATTGGCAAGTAACGCGTTACTTATAACGCCATTATTTTATTGAATATTATCTTGTGTAATAACGATAATAATATTTTGAATTTTTTATGACGGTAATGATTATATCAAAGTTAGAAAAGTCAATGTTACTTGTAACAGGTTAAAAACATTTGTTACTGGAAAAAATAACTCCTAATTTGTAACGCATAATAGTGACAAGTCACATAATAGTTACTTTTTACTCGTTACTTATTATTTTTTTTAGTAAATAATGAGTAACATATTACTTTTGTGACATATTACTTTTCAATTAATAACTCTTTTAATTTAAACACAACCTTTAGCATTTAATTAGTTAGCTTTACTGTTATAAAAAAACTGCAACATCGTCATCAAATTGTTTATTATAAAAAACGGCAAAGTAACTGAAAAATACGTTTGTCAATCCTGCCTACATACACTATTATACACAAATACAAAATAAAAGAAAAAGGCACGTTTGTAAACACGTCACTATTGCGTACAAACTGCATTTTGCACACATAATATTATTACCTACAAATCGGTTATTAATCGATTATTAATCGCCTATTACTGCCCATTTTTGCGCACAAATAAAAACTTGTACACAAAAATTATTATCTACATTTCGATTGTCTACATGCATTATTATGCACAAATACAAAATAAGAGAAAAAAAGCACTTTTGCACACACGACATTATTGCGTACAAACTGCACATATAACATTATTGCCTACAAATTGATTGTCTGTTAGCATTTTTGCGCACAAATAAAAATTTCAGAGACGAGTAACGTTATGAAATACAATTTGTGCGCAATAGTACAAATTGTACAAAAGTGCCTTTTTCTCTTGATTTTATTTATATTTGTGCATATAGAAAATTTTCTTTTAAAATTTATCCTAAAAATATGATAGTTGTGGTACAATACATTATTTTAAAGGTTTTTAACATGCACACACTTCAGTAGAATTAATTAAACTTATTTTATTCTAGTTTTATTAATGAATAAAAGAGATTTACATTAAAATTCTTCGACATACAATGTTGTCCCACGACTATTATATTTTCAGGATAATCTCTAAGAAAAAATTCTCTACATGTTGGCAATCAAACTGTTGGTGATACTTTTTTTGCGCAAACGAACTGTCGGCAAATATGATTAAGCAAACGATGCTATAGGCAATTGATTTGTAAGCAAAAGAATCTCATTTAAATTAAGTAAATTTGAATTTAGAGAGAGAACGTATTTATTAAAATTAAAAAAGCTTTTTTCTCAGTGTATGTACAATAATTTATTATGAAAAAATACGTTTGTACGAATATTGTAAAAATATAAAGCATGTAATTTTTAGGCACACGTAAATTCCGTACTAATGTAAAAAAGCCTTTAAGTCTTACTATCATGGGCAACAATATCTATTGGACTGAAAGGAAATCACAGGAATTATACTCGACAAATATTAAAAACACTTTTGATCTGAACCATAAGAATATAATTAGTTTGGGTGAGTCTCTTTAATAAAATACAGAAGAGAAGGTAGTACGTATATTATGGCACCCTTCTCCCCGCAGTTACATTTTACAATAACTTTTATAATAGTCAAATATTTAAATTTAAAACTTGATAATTACATTCGTTAAAATGTTATTGAATCATTTCTGGATTCAAAGTTACGAAATACAATATTTATTTAGGATACTATTAATAAAAATGTAGCGACATTACATAATGACTCGAAGAAAAACATGAATGCGATAATGTGGTCTTTTAAAAATAACCTTAAAAAATTAGTCTTGTTCAGAAAACAGTATTTGATTATAAAATTAACAAAAAAAAATAAAACATTTTAAAATGTATGCAAATAAATGTATATATTATACTTACATTCACATAATTTCTGTATATAAGCTCAGCCTACTAAAAATCTAAGTATTGAAAATGGTATAAGTAATATAAACTATAGATTAATAGTGAAGATACAATCGATTATCAACTAATTATTTTGTAAAAACTTTAAAAAAGAGACCGTGAGTAATCAATACTCATAAAGGGCCACATTAGCAAAATATCATGCTATTATTTAAATTTACGTAACTCAATATATACAGTCAAATAAAATGATAAAGAGAAAACAATACATTCACAAAAATATATATTCGTGTGATAATACGTTAAATTTAGGAAAAATGAGGAAGTACGTGTAATTAAATGTTAAATTGTAATTAAAGAAGCCTCAGAAACGTTTTAAAATACTTGAAAGTAAGAATGCGTTATAATAAGTGCTGGCTATTGAGTATATTTAGATTTAGATTTACAGCCATGGTGTAATGGCTACTAAACAAATAATTTTATAAATAATTATTAAAATTCGTTATATAAAACGATATTAAGGGAGACTACAATATCTATACTGATCATAATACCTTCTCCTTTACATATACAGGATTAATAATCAATAAAATGATCTTTTTAGGTATTACCCTAAAAATTTCGTTTATAGTAACTTTGAGTAAAGATACTAAACCTGATCACGATTGTCAGAAAAATAATGGAAATTGCTCACATGTGTGTTTACCTTCTTCTAATACTTCTAATACTTTTGTAAGTATGCAAGTTTTATGTAGGCGATTATATGTCAACGTTAATTATTCGACAAACGCAATACAAACATTTCATATATAATTAGTTGTTGTTTTTCATATATTTACATATATTGTTTAAAGAGAGACCCCACCCAAAAATCTGGCACCCAAAAATCAGTTCTAAATTTGTGAATTTTTGGGGGAAAAATGAATAACTTGATTAAAAATTAAGGGTTTCATTATACATATCTTCTAGTGTAGAAAATAATTTGTTCATCTTGTTTGAATGACAAAATGGCAGCTTTTTGATCCAATTATGGAAACATTTTTTGTAAGACGGACTCAAGCGGTATACATGTTTTCGACCAAACGTTGCAACCTATGCAAACTAAACAAAAATGGCATCATTTACACTGGTTATGGTTATCGTCTGACGTAGTGATTTTTTTAAATATTGATTTCTTTTAAAATGACGATGGTTTGAAAAAAGTTGCAATTTTTTCGAAAAAAAAAATCATCTTTAATTGTCGATTAAAAAAAAACTACAAAATATTTTGTAACAATCCTATGTCAGACGATAGAGAATGTTGTTAAGAATATTTAGTTAAAATTTTAAGTTAATTGAATGACTTTTGAGTTATGTACACTGTTTTGAAAAATGCAGTTTTGAGAAAATTTAAAGTTTAAAGTTTGAAATATTACACAGCTGTCACATCAAGAATTTCAGACATTTCTTACCATTAATGTCTACTCCATAAAGTTAACTTTCTGTCAACTCATCTATAGATAGCATCCAGAACTATTTTGATAGGTACATAGTTCTGTAAACCTGGAGAGTCGAGACAGATTACAAAAGAGGCGGAATCGCTCCTGCCGCTCACTGAGCGGTACGAGGCGCTTCAGAAAAATCAATTTAATCTCATTTTGATTACGAAATGATACTATTTATTGAAAAAAAATGGATAAATGTGTTTATTTCTAGATATGTGCTTGCCCTCCTGGAATAGGGCTCTCATATGACAATCGTACTTGCATTATGCATGAATGTCTTGCAAATGAATTTAAGTGCAGCGAACACAATATCTGCATATCAAAGAAAAATGTGTACGTTTAATTAGTATTTTTAAATAATATAATCCATAATTAAAAATTAATTCTTCGTACATTGGAAGTCAATGTATTAACAGTTATATGTTCAGTTTTAACACATTTTGTATTGTTTATTATGCGAATTTATCGAGATTGACTTACTTATTTTGAATAAATTTTTTTTTGTATCTTTATATTTAATTTATTTTTTCTTCAAACCAAAGGAATATTTATTATTCCATTTTCTCTTTCTTGTAGATTTTATATATGATATAAATATTATTAATATTTGTAAAATTTATAATTTATTTAGGTGTGACGGTATTGCACATTGTCCGAATGGTGAAGACGAGACGATGGACTGCTATGAAAAGAAGAAATGTAAGGAAGATCACTTTACATGTGCAAACGGCGAGTGTATTGATAAAGAAAATCGTTGTAATGGGTATTACGATTGCATTGATCAATCGGATGAAAAGAATTGCAAAAGACCGAAATGCGGAGAAGGTAATTATGATAAGTGTCACATGCATTTTTGTTCTACTTATTATCCTTTAATTATATCTGAATGCGAAGATTGAAGGAATATTTGAATGAAACCGTGATCTTTATCTTTCTGCCCGTTTCTACAGATATAGCTTCATTTTAATCTTGGTTCAACTAATTCTTTATCTTAATGCAGTTCTTAGGATTAAAAAAGCTGAGGAATAAGTTGACCGAGATCAAAGTTAATTTACATTGGAAGAAACGGTATGAATGTACTTCGATTAAACTCATATCACATACATATCACAGAACACTTTAGCCTGAGAATATCTCAAATTGTCCTATATTGACAAAGCAATCCCATAGATATCCCATCCGGAATATTTAAAGAAAATATTGTAAAATAACGTAAATTATCATAAGATATCCTATTAATATCTTAAGATATTTTATCTTTAATCATTTAAATCTTTCTACCACACAATATAGTTCTTCAAGATATGTCCTGAGACTGCTTTATAATACAGCAAAAATTTGTAATTGGAGAGTGTCAAAACTAAAAGATAGAAATAAAGAATGTCATCATTACTTCGGACACAACTGCGTGCCAATTAAGTTATATTTCATGAAGCTTATAAATTTTATTATATTAAATATTATAATAAGGCTATATTCGAAAACAGTTCTTTGAATATCCCACGGATATTGTTTAAAATCTCCGTGGGATCTCATACATGCGGATATTTGCCGGATAACTGAGACCATCCACGGATATCATAAAATTATCGCGATATCCCAAAATGACGATTGGACATCCCTAGAATAATATATACAGCGTGTAGTCGCAATTGTGAATTTATTTATAATAAGTATAAATTCTTTTTAGATGCATTTCAATGTCATGACGGATTCATCTTTTGCATATCGAAGACGTTTGTATGTGACAAGATAGTAAGTAGCGTTTATATCATACTTAATCCGTTTAATTCACTCGTATTTATTACATGTAATTTTTTTATTTTCTAAGAATAAACATTACTAGCACTTGATAATTCAAGGTACAGTCTCGCAAAAATGCCAGAATGAAATTACATTTTAAGAAACTGCGTCTCTACATTTCCAAATTAAAATATATGAACTTTTTCTAATTTCTTTTGTATACAGCACAGCTTATTTTAGCAATTTTGTAGCAACTGTATTGTCCTACTAAAATGTTACAGCAATTTTTTCTAATTCAGTACATACTGTATGTTTAATTCAATATGGCAGTATTATTTTGTGTAATTTTGTATTTAAGTCTAATTGTGAAGATGGATCGGATGAAACACATGAGGTATGTGAATCAACACAATGTTTAGACGGACAATTTCGATGTAACAATGCTTATTGTATATCTACTTCACTGGTGTGCGACGGCTTCTATGATTGCCTTGATAAAAGCGATGAAACATTATGCCCACATTCTTTAGATACTTGCAGCAAAAACGAGTATCAATGTTTCGACACTAATTTGTGTCTTCCTAAGCAAGTAAGGTAAATCATTTCATTCACAACATAGGAGAATAGTCGGCAAATAATGTGCACGAATATCAAATTTGCCTTAAGTTACTTAGTCTTTGTGAAGATTTCTTCAAATTGCAGAATTTGTTACGCAAGCGGATAATCATGAACGTTAGAAAATAAATTATAATCTTAATCTTAAATATTTTTCGTATTTATTTTCTGTCTTGCAGATGTAATGGCATAGATGATTGTCCGAAATATGATGACGAGTATGGCTGTGAAGTGTGTTCGAACGATGAATTTAGTTGTGATGGAACAAAGTGCATTCCGAAGAGTTGGGTATGCGACAAAAAGACTGATTGCGACGACCTTTCAGATGAGAAAGATTGTGTCAATGGTGAAAAAACCATCATGGAATATACCAAATGTCATGAATTCAAATGTTCTATCGGCACTTGTGTGCCATACTCGAAAGTTTGCGACGGTATTCGAGACTGCCCAGACGGCAGCGATGAAAATGGAAAGTGCCGTATGTTATTAATCTTTTTTAAGCTATATAATTTTAACTGTTGAAAATGCTTTTAACAAAAAATTTGTCAATTAATTTACAATATTTTTGTTTTTGAAGAATTCGCTGAAATTGGCTTTTTTTATATAAGTTCAATATTTCTCACTAATAATTAAAAAAAAGTGTCGATAAAGCGAAAAAGACAAAATCCCAGAATTTTTGAAAATCTGAAAAATTTATGTCTTGCATATTATTATAGTTTGCGTTATTTACTGATGTGTCATATTTTTCTGTGTAGAGACCGCTTGTTCAATAAACAATCATTGTGAAAATCTATGTTACAAGACACCAAGAGGCGATGTTTGCGATTGTCCAGATGGATATCGTTTAGTTAATGCGACTTCTTGCGAGGACATAAACGAATGCGAAAACGACATTTGCTCGCAATTTTGTCGAAATACAATAGGTTCTTTCGAATGTTTTTGTGACGACCATCATGATATCGATACCGATAACGGAGTTTCTTGCAAAGCTATCGGTAAGTGCATAGTCAATTAAATGTTTTTGCATATTATTTAAAACAATAAATATTATTAATGATTATTTAGGACCACCAATGGAATTCATCACCATTACTGATAATGATATTAGAAAAATATCATCTAATTTACATTCGATTGATGTGATTTATTCATTATTGGATATCAATATAAACGGATTCGACGTGAACGCAATTCATGATTCTGTCTATTGGAGTAACAGTTAGTTTCTTTTTGTTTTAATCTTATATAAATTAAGTTAATTATATTACAATATTTAGAACGACTAGAGCAAATGTGAAGATTCAAAAGATTTCTGAAAAAGGATTGGAAAAGTCTTTCAAAAGAATTACGTTATTCAAATGTACAAACAAAATAATTATAGGTGAATTCGGCACTATTAAGAAACTCAAAATTAGAACGAAGGAAGTATTCACAATTACTACGGAGCATCCGCAGGCATTCGCGATTGATTGGATCACTGATAATGTCTATGTCAATGATAATGGTCATTCGAATACGATTCAGGTATATTTTTTCTCAACACCTCTTTTTCTTTTTACGTTAAAGCCTCTGGCCTGTGTTACACCTCTCTCATATGCTTGTGATGCAAACGCTGATTATTTAATTGTCATAAATCATATGAGACTTATAGTTTTAAGGGTAGTTCGGAACAGCAGGATTTTTTCAGAGATGTTTTTGTGGGCAAGGATACTCTTGGGGGATTGCCGGCCTTCTCCGAGAAGAGACACGAGCGTAATTATTTTGATTCCTACTGGGATCGAACCTGGAATCTCTGGCATGACAGACTAGTTGTCTGCCATGCCACGCTCATGCTCTTCAACATCTCGTTAACAATAGAATATCTTAATCTGAATACTTATTTAATTATTTTGTTGAAGGTGTGCAATTTCGAGAAACAAAGATGTGCGCCTCTGGTGAAGATAGAAGATAGGGCAAAAGTAGGATCCCTTTTAATTAATTCGATTAAGAGGTATTTTTTTTATTCTTCTTACAGTTTTTTTATTTTCATTTATCTGGCATAAATTTACCGAGATAGCAAAACTCTAATAGTATGCTCACAAATTCAATGATATAGAGTGAACTCCTATCAACTGTATTCTCTTTAAACTTGATTTCTGTTATTACGACTTATCAACCATAATATATAAACAGAAATGCATTAGGAATGGAGCATACTTCGATTTCATCATGATATGATAATGCATGATCTGCTCGTTTTCTGATACATTTCTACCAATATTAGAAAGACACTAGATTTGTATTCTATTGTTGCTAATATAATATGCAATACATCTCTCTATATTTCTTGGATTGAAATCTCACTCTCTAAAGCTGTTGTTCCATCTATCGATAAACTTCAGTTCATTCTCTTACTCTCTTACTCTCTTACTCTCTCGTACTCTTACCCTCTTTTTTACTCTTTTGTTTATCCATTAGATAAATTATCACAATTTATCTAATGGATAATTTATCTGAAGATTGTGGAATAACCGGCCCTTAGAGTGAGAAAAATACTCCAAAAAATTTAAAGAGATAATTTGCAATACATGCTTTCGGTAAATTTGTCTATCTGGATACAAATCTGATGGATATTAATGATACTTTTGTTAGAATTTTCAAAATTTATTTGTTCATGATGTTGTAGATGGCTATTTTGGTCTCAAATAACTTTGCAAATGGACAAACCATTTAGCAAAATATGTCGGACAGATATGATGGGCAGCGATATAAAAATTATTGATTCTGATATAGGCTTTGTGAGTGGGATGACAATCGATTACGTAAAATCTAAATTATATTGGTTGGATAGTTTTAATAATGCTATCAAATTATCTAATTTAGATGGAAGCCAACGCAGCACGTTTTTAAGAATGAGTGTATGTTAATTCATTATATTTACTTTTTTTAAATTTAAATCAGAAACACGTTAAAAAGATATAAAAACTGAATATTTAATTTTTTTCTTCTTTAAAACAATATTTTTTCTTTTTTAGATGCATCATCCGTTAAGCATTAATATTTATGAACAATCACTTTATTGGTTGACGGGTATAAACGGTAAAGTGCGACGTTGTAAATTGTATGGTAACAAATTATGTGAAACTTTAGATATAAACACAAATAATATTCATAGACAGTTTGCTATTCTTCATATTTCCAGGCAACCTTTGGATTGGTATCGTAAGATTTCTAGTAATCTCAAAATCAAATTCTTATTATGTATATTAATTTTTATAGAGTCATTAAGTAAAGTTAAATTATACTTTTTTTTAGATAAAGGTAATCCTTGTAATGAAGAGTTTTGCGACTATATGTGTATTTTGAAAGAAAGTGTAACATGTATTTGTTCAGATGGTAAACCGATAAAATCCAATACAACTTGTATGAGAAATAGTAAACCATTAATTAGAAATATACAACATACAAGTATTTATATTGTAACAATAATTATATTACTAATTGCTGTTTTATTATTATGCGTTTACAACTGCTATCAGAGAAGTGGATTCCAGTGGAAACTAGCAGATAACTTAAAGTACGTCTTAAATTTATTTTAGTATTTAATTGAAACAGGAATTCTTTTTCAAGAATTATATATATAAATGTCATTAGCATATATTATAATTAAAATTGTACAATATATAATTATTGCAGCATTCGCCGCATTCGTTTTCAAAATCCGTTATATAATCAAAGAGATGAGATTGAGTTAATATTCGATTCGACAATTAAAGACATGTCTTCTGAACAGCATGAACATGTCAGTCCTCCTGATGAATTTGTAAGTATGAAGATAACGTAATAATTTTACACTTAGACACATAATATTTCTGTGACTATATCGCTTATATGATTATATTTATCGAATTATAATGTGCATTATGTAAATTTCTGTGCATTACGCACGGAGTACATATACACACGCGTGATTTCAAAAAATAACTACATTCATAGTTAAAAAGATAATTTAATCAACTATTTAAATTCATATAAATTATTGCAGACTTAACTATTCAGCATTCTTTTTGTAGGCTGCGATGGAAAGTAATGGAAGAAACAAATAGAAATCATGTGCTCGGAGGTGAGAGATGTTGAAGAGACAGAGAAGCTAGACTCGTGCTAACTCGTTGTTTTTCTTTCATACATTCAAAATAATTTAACTACAATAATAACGACATCTCAAAAATTAATTTGTTAAAAATTATTGAAACTCAGTTATAACAAAACATTTTATAATAAAACATTTTTAAAAAATTTTAATGTTTATTACTTTAGATATCAAGGTGAATGTGCCTATAAATGCCATGCTACGCGAGCGCGCGCGAGGGTGTGTGTACAGGGTGTTTCAGACCTAACGCATCACCTAATGACAAATTCCCGAAATTATTCTGGGACGAAAAAGTTCTAATAAAACGTCAAAGCTATCGTAGTTTTTGAATTATTGTAATCATTTAAATCTAACAAATTATACCATCTAAAAGGAAAATGTTAAAAAAGTATCATTTTTGATGTATGTCTATAAGGTTCTAAATAGATCTTGGAAAATTATATTAGGATCTTCGGAATCACATGAGCATTAAAAAATACATTAATGAAAGTACTTCCCATCACTTGTAAAACGCTACGAATTAATTCCAACACCTAATAATAATTATAATAATTATATTATTATTATTATATTATTATTATTTATTATTATTTATTATTATTATTATTTTATTATATTATATTATTATTTTTTTAGAAAATTATATTAGAGTCCTATTTAGATCCTCAAAAAATAAGAAATAACAATTGTTTGTCCGAGAAATGGTAGGAACATTGATAGAACAAGATAATTTGTTCAATATTTCAATAATTTTCTGTAAAGTTGATAGTATTTGAATAAAAAATTATTGAAAACCAATATTCGGCGATTTTTAGTAATTAATAGGGAGGTTTTTGCAATAGCGTGAATGCAGATATAGTGAACGCTAAAGTCACGTTATCTTTTTTTTAAGTAGTTGTTAAGAATAAGATAATCTGATAATCTTTAGCGTTCACCGTATTTAGATAAACGGTATTACAAAAACTCCCTAATTATTAAAAGTCCCCGAATATTGATTTTCAATAATTTTTTACTCAAATACTTGAACAGCACTTGCTTTTTTTCTGTAAAGTTGATAATATTCGAGTAAATTTTTTATACTGATCGTATAACGAAAGATACGTAAAAATGAAAAATTAATTAAGTTATTAATTACATAAACTATAGTTCCGAAAGTAGGAATAGCATGAATTGCGTTATTTGCATAAAAATATTTATTAGCATTGCTTTTTATGACTCCTGTAATACCGTTCGAAGTATAAGCGAGTATTATCAAGCGAGAGAAACATTTTACGATAAACAAAAATAATTGCCGTTCGTAATTATCGCGAAATAAACAAATACTGTTTTCCATTGCGTTTTGATTCCAAATGAATAAACCGTACAAAATTATAATTATCTGTTCCGTGATATACGATTGTCATCTCGATCATTTTATGAATAATCAATCGTGCAAGCCAATAATCATATACTGTGAGTATTCATAAAGTAAAATTCGTATTATCTAGCATTTGCCGCGATCATGTTTCAAAAAGAAATATGAAAAATAAAAGCACGCAACGCTATCTGATTACAGGGTTCGATCGCATTTGAGAGCTAAAGTTATATAAAATATACATATATTAATAAAAAAAGATAAAAGGGATATTTAGTACTTATTATTTTAAATAAGTTCGCCGGACGACAATGACGCCGAGCGACGCCAGGCGAAGACGAAAATATATACACTTAGCGTATATATATTTTTTTAAAGAAGTTTTTTAAAAACCATTTTAAATATTATCTTTATGATGCAACACTAAGTGCAAAAAAAAATCTTCATTTTTGGATGTATAAAATATATTTTAATCTGAATTCTCTTAATTACGATGATTAAATGGTTACAAGTAGAGTGATACTATTTGACTGTTAACCTTTGTCCACGATACTAGAAATCGCTCCGAAATCTAAAACACAGAAAGAAATAATAAGAAATATCAAATCACATTTGATAATTTGGTCACATAACCAATGAACTTTCTCCGTCCAAGGTCTCGGATGGATTTCTATATCGGACACAAAAAGTTAAGAACATAAACACTTGCATAACGCATAACGTATATAATGTATAAAAAAATGAACCTTCCTTTATTTTTTTTCTTTCCATGAAATAAAGAACTGTGATTTTCATATGCCTTATACATTATACTTTATACAAGAGTCTGTGCTCTTGGCTTTAAGCTATATCAGTATTGAAATCATCAATATTTATATTCTAACTAAATTCACATGTGACTCTTCGACCTTCGTTAAATATTTCTCGACGGTATAGATATTTACATATTTAATAATATACAGTCTGAGATAAGTGTGCAGACATAAGTGTACTGCAAAGGAATTGCTAAGTAATTGGATACAACATTATAATAATTTAAAAAATAACAAATTCCGATGCAAGATTTGTTCTTATACTACAAACTATACATTAAAATTAAAAGTGTACTTATTTCGTGCTCATAAAATATTTCATGATGAAGATAATTCGCAAAAACGGTCTAATATGGTGTTATTTCATAGAAGAAGAAAAACACTTTAAAATGTAAGATTTGTGATTTCTTTTGAACGGATATCTTGTAAAGGAGTTACTCGTACTCTATCAATTTTCATATACAACGAAGTTACGCTCAAAATTCGATATTATTCAACTAATATCAAAACATTTCTGAAATATAATACATGTCATGTCATATTTATGGAATCGTATGTCTTCTAAGGTTAATTTTGGGAGCGAAGCAAAGAAAAAACCATGTTCGCTGCGATTTTTGAAAATGGGTGTTAACCAGTACTTTCTTTTTTAATAATTATATATTAGCAATGGCAACGGTTATACATCACCTCCGAATTTCTATTGCAACTGTAGCTGCTACTATACGGATTCTTTTACATACTCGATATATTCTCATTTTCGTAATCCATTTTTATTAAAATGAATTAAAAGCAAGCAAAAATGAATGAGTGTCTTCGTTAATTTAAAGCCAGCAAAGGTACGCTCCATGAAAAGGAAGCAAGAGGAAAGTGAACAGCTGCTTTAATTGTGAAGTGGGAATATTAAAGAAATTTCTTTAATATCAGCGTATCTTTTGATATGAGACAATTTTTAACGCTGGATTCTAACGGTCATATCAGAAGAATTGTCATGACAAAGATACTCTTGATAGTTCGTCATTACTTTTCGAAAGGCAACGATAAAACCTGGATGGATTTTTGAACCTGGATTTTTGGCATAGAGAGCAGCCACATCGTTCTCTATGTCATGATCGCTACGATTGCTTTCTTTCAAACATATCATAGATACATATATACATATATATATATATATATATATACATGCATATATACAATAGAAATATTAAACTTTCTCTGTACAGTTTTTACAGTTTTGCATTGTAATATAAATTATTATCTCATGATCAATAAAAATGGAATTTTTAAAAAAATATTGTCATTATTATTGTTAAAATATCTTAATGTTAATTCAATTATAATAAACATCTAATATTTAAAAATTAGAAAATGTAAATACAACGTCATCATATAAATAATTATTGATACTAAAGATTTATTTGATTCCCAGTAATTCATATCCGATATCCATATGCCTACATATACATATATAATAAACAAATATTTATAATAAACATAGTATAATGTATATTCTCTCTCTCTCTCTCTCTCTCTCTCATAAATTGTATGACTATCTATTTAATTAAAATTATTTTTCTAGAGATGTATAATTTTAGCTAATTAAATAGGGACTATCAAGGGCACCAATACCTGCAACTATTCCGCCTTCATCCTCACTCGATAATTTAGTTCTTAGAATATGTCCAACTTGTTTATTTAACATTATCTCATTGCTATCCCTAGAAATATTATTCAAATATTATTAATGTCATTTATTTATTAATAAAGAATATGAATATAATCAAAATGCAAGTCATCCCATCTGTATTTACCCTACTATTACGCCATATATGCCAAGTTCTGTTATAACATCTGATAGATCAATATCATCTTCTGAAGATGATTCTTCAGCGGCACGTACAAAATAATTTTTCTGTAAAGGAGGATAAAGACGATCCATGAGAATCCATGCCGTTCTTTCTTGCGATTCTTTCAGTGAATTTAACCACGATTTTATACTTTCATTATATATGTTATTTCCTCCTCCTTCCCTTTGCGGTTTGAGAACAAACTTGTATGGTTCGTTTATACCCATTTCTACTGCTTTTTCTCCATCATCATTCTATTACAATAAATATATTATTTTGGATTTGAATTGCTAGAAGTTATTCATATAATTGTTAATTATATAAGCATTATGATAAAATAATGAATAGATTATTTACAAAATCTAATGTATATAGACCAGTAAATATTTCTTGCACTTTAACAACAGCAGCATCATCTTTTAGAAATTTTTTCAATACAGTAGGTTGAGCTAAAGATTGTTGTACCTAAAAAGATAATTTTCAAAATTAAAATATTTTACAAACTTTAATTATAGCGAATATATGTGTGTGTGTGTGTGTGTGTGTGTGTGTGTGTGTGTGTGAATTTATTCTATCTGTAATAAGTATGATAAAAATTAAATGTTCTTGTTAATTATTCCAATTTCTTTAATTATTCAATTTTCTGTTAATTATTCCAATACTTCATACAGTTTTTGTACAGATAACAAAAAAATTTAATTTGCTATATATTACTATTTAGACAAATAAAAATTAAAATGATTTACATACTTTTTTAGTACCTGCTAAGTGATACTGTACTGATGGACACTTTATTGCACGAGAACACTCTATTAACAATCTCATATCCCATTCCTTTTCTGTAGGATAAGCTTCAAGTTCATAACCTGAACGATAGTAAACAACAGCTACTACCATATTTGAACTAAAACAATTCAAATGTTTCAATAATTCAACATTTCAAATATCTGTATTTTTTATTCAGTATTTATTTCTATATTTGCAAAAACTTGAAAAAAATTCTCTTTTAAAATATTTTGTATAAATTTTAATTTAATTTATAACATAAATTGT